ATAATGTTAATTGATAGAGAAAGCTCTAATGTTATTTTGTCCATCACTAAAATATTATCCACTACTTGAAATTTTCTAATAGGATATTATGGTCTAAAAAGAGAAAGAAAGCTCACATTTTCCCAAATTAAATTAAAGTCAAGTCAAATAATGTACTTGTGACAACCAGATGAAACTACCCTTTCAAAAGTGTCATTATGGAATGGTAAAATTAATAAGCTTTTCAATCATCATGTCAAAAAACCTGGCCATGTGTCTGGAAAAGATAAAAAAGCATTTTGAAAATAACTGACCACAGAGATCAGAGGTTAATTCTTCCTTTACTCTTTGAAAATTATTTCGCAGCATTTTTTCACAGTTTCTAAATAATAAGACAAATATGAGGATATTTCTGGGGATTGAAAAAGAAATGTGTAGTGATGCTTTTCCTTGGGTCCAAACCTGAGAACTAAAGTGAAGATGAGTAACAACGCCACTGCTCATACGAATGACGTACTTCAAATGCTGGATTCCTTCCACAATGTTATTAAAGTCCTTTGAAGCACTGCTACTAAGAAAAAAAAAGTCAAAACAGTTCATGTTATTCATTGTTTGTCAAAATCCATTGCTGCTTCAGGTTGTGCCTGAGCTGAGAAGTCCATTTCATTTTAGAAGCCATGGGCACAGCAAAGTGCTGTAGCAAGTGAACAAAAAACACAATAGTAGCCACGGGTAATGAAAACTCGGTTCCAAACTTCAGTGAATCTGGAAAGGACACTAAGAATTTTAAAACAATGACAGTCTACACGAAAAGCAGATCCAGACAGAGTTCCAACGGAAGAAGTGACAAGGGGTCTTCCAGTCTTTATTAAAAAGACAAGAAGCAAGGCTTCAGTCACATTTTGTGAAGATGTTAGATATAATTGTTATTTCTCTAAAATTATTAAATCTGCTAACTCTCCCTCAGTACTTCTTTCTAGAAGGGAAGTAATGATGAGGAAAATGAATAGAAGAAATGTTACAAGTAGAAAGGAACAATAACAATAATAGTGGTAGACGTAATAATAATGAACACTTATTTAACACAACCAAGAGGCCAAAGATTTAATAAGAATTTTACATGGAGTATGTCATTTAATCCTCACAAATGACTGTCTGAGTTCTTTGACAGCATAAGCTGCCAGAGAATTATTTTAACTTAGTCTTCACAATAGAATGAGCCCTCTTTAGTTGAAAAGTCAGATTCCTCTCTGCCTCTTTTAAAAATGCATCTGAATTCATTGAATTATAGGGACGACAGAAAGCTTCATGATCAACTGAACTCACATAAATTTCTATATTGTTAATGATGACTTATAAAGGAGTAAAAATATTAATTAGTTGTCTAGTTTCCTTAATTTCCAAATGAATAAATTTGAGGCTCAGAGATTACAGGGACTTACTAAAATCATTGTTGTCAGAGGTACCTCCCTCCCAGGCTGTTGCCACTCACCCCACGCATCACGACCTCACACTGCAGAGAAGGCAGCTCGGAGCCATTCCTCTGATTTCTAATAGCCCCACTACAAACGTGGTCCCTTACGTACAAAACATGCTCTGGGATCTATGTCAACGAGTTAGCTTTACATGACCAAATGTTGACACCTAAACTGCATATTGGACTGCAACAAATTTCCTCCTAAACTTGCCACAATGCCTCCATAGATCTGTGTGATACACTTCCAAATTCTCAGAATAATATTGGATTAGAACAACCTGAGAAATAACACAGCACAAATTAACGTGGATGCCCATTTATATCTTAATTCCCCATGCTGAATCTGTTCTTTTTAAATAATAAACTAATTTATTCATATTTCATGCTTGACATCTGATAAGGGAAGATGATTTAGAAAGGAATTGAGCTTAAAGAAAGACAAAAACGTCCTGCCCCTCAGTTGTTTGGGCATTTTGTCCCACAAAGCAGAATGTCTCCATTTCAAGTCTGGTCGGGGCATATGCCTGAGTTGTAGGTTCTGTCACCAGATGGGGTGAGTTATGAGTGGCAACTGATCAATGTTTCTCGTTCACACTGATGTTTCTCTCCCTCTCTTTCTCTCTCCCTTCCCCTCTATAAATAAATAAATAAAATCTATTTTAAAAAGTCAAAAATATAGGAATGCCATAGAGGAAAAATAGAAAATTGAGAGAGAAGAATATGTAAGGCATAGATGATCACTTAAGAGAAGATGTAGAGGGAACAACGACAAAATGGGAATTGAAGCTTTGTCAAGCCATCTGGGACAGTTCTTTCTGACCTCAAAATTCTGTTGAATTAAATTCTGGCCATGATTACTGCATCAGATGCCTGTCACTGGCATTCTTGCTGCTTGGTAACCAACTCTTATGTCTTTATAACTCTTTAAAACTAGGATTATGGTTTTCTATTTCATCAGTAGCTCATCAAAGTGTTCAGAAGCATGACCCACCTCTAGCCACATAGTCACCCACTGACTCACAACACAAAACAAGGATCATGGTTTAGCAAAAAGATTATAGTTCATTTTGCTCCTGATTTACTGTCATTCAGCTGCATGATTAGCTCTTGTTTTTGCTGGTTTGTTTTTGTTTTTGTTTTGACGGCAGGGGCAGTGGTTCATAGGTATTAAATGAATGGCCCAAACAGTTAAATTATTATGAAAGCCTTCACTGTTCTACTAAGAAATAAATATCCTAATTTATTTAAAAATAGCACTTTCTTATCAAATTAAAAGCATCAGACAATGTAAAATTATTAACAGGAACAGCTATTATGGGGAAAATAATGAATATCAAGATCAAATTTATCAACAGAAGCATAATTCTTAACCCTGATTTTCTTTCTTCTTTCCATGTTTTAAGAAACTACAAATTTAGAATTTAGCAACATAATAATTCAAAAGTGGTATACATCTAGTTAAAACTCACTCCATTCCACAACTTTATTGACTATGGTTTCCATTTGGGCCAACTATACACCCCAGTCTGGTAAACCCAAGTAAACGAGCGGAAACGTAACATAAGATGACAAGACTGTCATCCTTATCCTAACTAAAAACCCTGCCTATTGCTTTATTTTTAAACTGCCACCGACATGTTTAAATTATAATTGCATCTTCTCAATGAGCACAGTCCCTTATTATTGGAACTGGCAGGGGGCCTTGACATTTGAGTCATCATTTCATTAGGTCTATTTCTTACACTGGTGTACAAATTAAGTAGAAATATAGCCAGATGAAATATGGAGGGGGGAGATCTGAAGCAGTAACTTTAAACTGAATTAATATATCTCAAATCTACCAAAAATATAAAACAGTTAACATCGATAATAATAGATTCTACTCCAGGCACATTTTTTAAAATGTTAACTTTAATTCTAAAGGGCAGAGATGCTGTAAATCCTCCTAGCCAAAAATTGTACTTCTGTACGACAGAACTAACATTCCCTATGTTACAAAGATAGAAGAATTCCAGTTTTAACACAACTACAAATATGGACAAAAACACATATTTAATAACTTTCCTTCAGTTTAAAACACTTCAAAATGGGTAGCATTTATTGAGTATATATATATATATATATATATATATATATATATATATATATCACATGTAAAAAATATTATAACATCATGCGTAATAAAATGGAAATAATGAAGTTCATTCAGACTAATATATCCTAATGTGTACCAAAATGTAATCTTCAGGCTTTTCCTTGGATGTTTTCAAATCACTAAACTTATATAATGAAAACACTACTGAATGATTATCCCTAAACCACCTGATTCAGTCATGAATAAATGTCATCCCTTCATCTTTCTCAGATTATTTGTTTACAATTTTTTTGCTGAATTTCAAGATTATTAAAATGAGTCAATGATGAAACTAATGCTGATAAAAAAATCCCCCCAAATATCTTTGCCTCTGCCTTCAGGAGGCTATTTTCCTCATTTCCTTTATAACTGCAGGCACTCGGAATACGTGGAGACTATTCATTCACCGAGCTCCCAGTTGCTTCTGCAACGCTTCCCTCCATCGGCCCAGAGCAACCTATGCATTTCCGAGAACCAACAGCTTTCCCAAAATGCTTGAAAACAAGCCTGAGAGAACTTTATTTATCCTGATACAAAATACTGAAAAGAATCTCTCGTATAACATTATTTTCCCTCTTAATCACTGAAAGTATATTACCAGATTTTAAATAGTCATGGCTGATTTTTTCTGTACATTTTATTATTTATTTTATGGTTGACATTTTCTGAAAAATATTCACCTGAGGAAATACGTTGGTTAAAACTCAACTATGTTAAGATGTATTTCTGTTCTTCCCATTATTTATTCATAATTTATAACCCAGATTTTCCCAGAAGGGTTTCAAACAAATCCACAGTAAAGATTCCTAGTGTGCGCTATATTCTCTTAAGGAGTAAACATGTTCTAAAAGTACATGGACTAAAATTTAATTAGAACTCCTGAGATAGTTACTTCATTTCCAACTTTTAGAAAACATCTTATTCTGTATATCAGGACAAAACTATAATGTAAACCAGATGTTCCTACATTACGAAATTTAAAACAGAACCTACTCAAAGTCTAGCTAGCTCTTGACCTACATTTATGTAAGGACAAGGCAAGCACGTCCCACAGTGTTGTAACCAGTCTTCCCATTTCTCTCAGAGTTTGACTTCCATCACTGAAAATATTCATGGGTTTACAGTATCAGATTTTAATGAGTCCCATCATTTTTGTAATTACTATGGCTAGTATTAATAAATGTCTTCTTTTCATATTCTGAAATAAATTAATGAATATGCAAACACTATGCAAAATGGCTGGGAATAGGGCCAAATCTTATTATATACATCCAGGGACCAGTAATTTTCTAAATGGCAGTTTAAGCTTTTTTGCCTAAATAATTACAAGTATAGCCAGCATGTAATTTACTGAAATAATCATGCAATCTTCTAGTTTCCATCACTGATATAAAGTTCATAGCCACTTACCTTGTCTTTATTTTCCGTGCCAGAAGCTTCAGGCTTGGTTCTAATCACAAATGGGGTAGACAGTCGCAGCAGGACCCTTTCGAAGGTGGCATTCACCTTTGGAGACACAATCTCAAAGCAGTCCTCAAACTTGAGCACTTTGTGAGTGTCGCATCGGAACTGCTTCCTCAGGCCTTCCCCCAGCTGAAGGACTGACATGTGGGGGTCAAACATCAAGTGGAAAGGGAAGGCTCTGCAGAAGGTGTTGATGCTAATTCGGAGATCCTCGGGAACTTGGGAGGTTCCTTGTGGAAGGTTCTTCGTGATGTGAGTATTGTCACATTCTTTGATGAGGAAAGTAAGACAGCTACAGTTGCCTGGGTTTGAGCCATCAGAGCACAATTTCTCGCTTGCAACCTGTTCCACTTCCACGTCCAGCCCATAGATCTTCTTTCCTGCAGCCTTAATCATACCCAGCATCGCAAAGCCCACAGTAGGGTTAGGGTGGAAGTAGTGGAGCATAAGAGTACCTTCAGGAAGCTCTTTGCATAGGAATGATGGTGACTCCAGAGTGGCCTGTTTTCCAAAAGAAGTTCTAATGTGTTCCAACAAAGCATCAAAGCCATTAAAAAAGTCCTGCAACGTGCCACCCACAGCTCGAAGGACTCTCTCATTCTCATCAAAGCATATATTAAAGAATTCCTCACCAAATCTTTCTTGAATTTCCTCAAACTTCAAACCTAGAGGTAAATAGGAAGCAACTATTAGTGAAGAATAATATAAATACTTGAATTTACAGTTTTTAAATATTTATCAAATGAGGTAGCTAGTGGGTGAAACATGAGAGGTCCGCAAATTTCCCAAATAGTTTAATTCATTCATTTTGAATCAGAGAAAGTAAATTTCATCTTCTGAATAGTTCTAGGATGTTAATGAGCATAAACTCATTTGTTTGTTTGTTTGTAAACAGACTTTATTTTTAGAGCAATTTTAGATTCACAGCAGAAAGAATTGAGCAGGAAGAATATAAAAATATTTTCTATATACCCCAGACCCCTTGCACGTACAAGCCCCACACCCCACCATCAACACAAGGCACTACAGCAGTACATTTGTTACAACCAATGAACTGACGCAGACAGAACATTATGACCCAAAGTCTACAGTTTACAGTAGGGTTCACTCTTGGTGCTGTACTCCTTGGGTTTTGAAAAGTGTATAAAGGCGTGTTCCCACCATCCTAGTAGTTTCACTGCCCTAAAAATGCTCTACATTTCATCTGTTTACTTCTCCCTCTCCCAACCTCTGGAGCAACAACTTTTTAAACGCTGCTAATCTAACCTTTCTTTTCATTGCCCTACTCCATTAGCACAAATAATATGTTTTCCTTAATGATTTTGCTCATTGTTAAAAGATTTTTATAGAGACAGCTATAAGGTTTCTATATTATGTCCATCCAATATTACCATCTTACTTATCAAAATCCATTTGTTAAGTGGAAAGTATCAACCAGAAAGGCAAGCTATGGTATACGAGCGATGCCTCAGGTCGTCTAGGGTAAACAGAAGGACTAAAGTCAGGAATCTCAGGGGAAGTTCTGTAGGTCAGCTAGACCCATCAGGGGGAGACAAAACAAGGAACTGAAAATGGCAAAACTGGAATGCTTTGCATTCTTTCACCTAAAAAAAGTAAAAATAGCCAAGAGTGGAGTAGTAATCTGACCAGATAGAGTTAAAGGTTTTTGTTAAACTTCTAAGTTCATACTCACTCCTACATGCTGTGGTGAAAAAGAACTCTGCCTTATAGTAATATAATTATAACAAAATAGAGTGAAAAAACATCAAACATTCTTTGATACCTTACTGGAGAGTCTAAACACACTGGTAGCCAAGTTAAAAGGCCAGATTGACAAAGAAGTTCTTAAAATCAATGTGAAATGAACAAAGCAAAAATCTAAGTGAAAAAGAGTCCTTTTATTAAGAAGCATTTCACATTAATTTTAGTTTCACACATTTGATGCTCAAAGCAAGCTGAGAAAGTCACCTTTTAAGATAAAAATATCAGTCACCACTCACATGGTCACGTTACGAGATCGTCCTTCAACATATGCTGCATCCACTAAGAGCAATACCAGCCAGAACTAGTAATAAAATCATTCGTCTGCCTAGTTCGCTAGTGTGAAAGAAAACAAGATAGACGACACTCACTGCAATTTGGCTCCTGCTCCAACTGATCCGCTGAAACTGCTTTTATGACTAATTAAACCAGTACATACTGTTTTGTCCTTATCTTAGTTAACCTTGTTTGTTGTTTATCCTTTCATTTGATTCGACTGATCATCTCTTCCTTCTAAATCTCTCTTCTCTCTTGGCTTATAAAACCACTCTCTTTTGATTTGATTACTGTCTGTCTGAAAATTCCTTCAGTAAAATTTCTCCCTATGCCAAATCCTTACCTCACCTTCCCTGTAACTGAAAATTTCCAATATATACAAATTAAATTTATGTTCCTTCAAAGACAATGTTCTTTGTCACTATTAAAACTTTTAACTATAACATTCTAATCAAAAACTAAGTTCAGAGTAAAGTTTCTTATAACCTGACTGCATTTGCTGACCTATAAAATCCCATGTGTCACTGAAAACATTCCATGGACTACTTCCACACTTCTGAGAGTTGATCTTAAAAGGACAGGACTTAGGGTCTTTAATTCACAGAACAGAAAAATAGAATTTCTTCAAACTTGCATTTTTCATAGCATTAAAAATGTCCTCACAGTTACTGAGTAAAGAGTACAGGTATAAATAAAATACAGTAAGCTTATATGCTTATGTTCTATTTCCAATGTAAAAATTTCAAAGAATCTTCCAAAAACTAACAAGTAAATTTACCAGAGGCAATAAAAAGCTACTGTGTGAGTGAGCAGCCACACCCTACAAAATAGAAATCCTTGCTGCTTTGAAAACTATTTCTGTACTTTAAGGTATAAGGATTGTAGTTCTCAAATAATGACGCTAACACCCAGTAGGATGCAAAAGTGACTTGTGCCAATAATGAAAAACTAAATTATTTCGAATATTCTCAAATGCTATACATGGTAATTCTACATAAACCATAATATTCAAATTACCTAATAAAAATTTTTTGTTCTCACGATTGTTAAACTGTACAAAATCAGAAAAAAAAAAGAACTCTTAAGAGTTTGAAAAATTAAAACTATGGAAAAATCACTTTAACTTTCACAAATATGCTGTGAATCTAGAGCCAAGACTTCCATTGATACTTTATCTCAGAATGTAGAAAGCACAGAGAAAGTACTTCAGCTCAGTCGGGTGCAGTTCTGACTCCAAAGTTCCACCTACGACTAATGCAACCCCCTACTTGCAGTAAATCACTTGAAACATGTAGACAGTGCTCATCCTCTCTATTTTAAGAGATCATGACAGCTTGACATTCAGGTCTATAAGAATACATTTCCTCAAGAAACAAACTTTCATTAATGAGTATGTTAGAAGTCAGAATTTTAAGTTATTGTTAATTTACCTCTGAAAAAAAATGAATGGCCTAAATGCTGATATCTTTCAACTGTTAATGAAAGTCTGGTCATTCATGACATGAATCTTGACTGCTATCCATCTGACTTCATGCTGTGTACTTGCTCTTGAGGACAAAGACATTATCCCATTTATGTCTGCATACCTAGGAAACTAAGACTTCATTCACAGAAACCAAACATTATTTGTTGAATAACTATAATCAAGTTTTTAAAGCTACAATTGTACCACATCTAAGGATGCCAAGACAGCTAAGCACATTCTTTTCTCACATGGACCTCTGCAGATAATTAAATTACAGTGTAATTGGGCTAAAACAATGTCGGAGTCATACAGGAGGTATGGAAAAAAGAATGTCTGACTCTTTCCTCAGGGAAATATGTTTGAAGGGAAACTTAAAGAAAAAGGAGTTGTTTAAATGGCAAAGAGGGACAGAACAGGCACAGTAGCAGATGCACAGTTATGGAATTTGGATGAACCAGGAAGGTGCAAGAGCCCAGCATGAAATTCGATAAAAGCTGAAATTAAGAGAAAAAGTACACTAAATTAGAAATAAATGATCCCAGCATGGTCAGGTCAAGGCAAGCAGATAACAACTGGGGTGCAGGGGTGGGGAGATGAGTTGTTAATTAATCAGAATGTAGAAGATGGACTTAAGGCTGCCATGACAAAAATCAAAGACTGCAGCCTGAGAAATGTTGCAGTGTCTTTAATAGACTGAACGAGGCAGTCCCAGTAAGAATGGAAAAGCAATTACCAAGCAATGTGCTCAATTTTTCACAAATTACTTTATTTAATAGTATAAATAGTTTAAGAAACTCCTATCAAGTAGATATGTTTAATCATCCTCATTTTACAGAGAAATGTTAAGAAATTTGCCTAAATTCACACTATAGGTGGCAGAGACATGTCTCAAAGTCAAGTCTGTCTAATACAACATCTTGAGTAAAGCATCTGCATGAGGTGAAAAATGCATGTCTTGCTCATTGTTTTATCTTGATGCTTAGCATTCTGCCTGACAGTTAGTAGATATTCAATAAATATTGGCTGGATATTGAATAAATTAATGTACCACGGCAGTCAACAGAAAGGAGTTACAAAGGGCAGTCAACAGTTATCAAATGCCACAGCCAGACCAAGATAAGGACAAAAACTGTAAGTTGGATTTGTCAGAACTCCACAGACCTTTGACAGAGCCATTTTAGTGGAGGAGTGAGGGTAGAAGACAGAATAGAACCATTGAGGGGTGTGATGGCAAAGTAAAGAAACAGAAATACTAACTTTTTTGCTGAATCTGTAACATTATTGGAAAGCTAAAATTATTTAAAACATATCAGACCTCTATACTTGGAAAGGCAGACATTGACTTAGTTGAGAACTAAGTGAATAGAGAGAGTTACAGCACCAAAGATATAGTTCTAAGGAGGGTACAGGATCTTCTAAGGGAAGACCTATTAATAAACACGGGAAATCAGAGTCTTTATGTCCAGAGACCATACTTATCACCCAGGAAGGGCATCAGTCTCCACTAACGTGCTAAAATACCAAAGCAAGAGCTGTACCTTCAAGTTGCTTAAACTTCAACTAAGCAGCTGAATACCTATTAACCACTCATTTCTGTGAACTACAGATACTCCATAATTATTTTTTTCGATTAATTACTTAGGCTTCCTCAACCTAATATCTAAGCAATATAACTATATCTCAAGTCCAAACTGTAAAGAGATTTTAATATTTAAGGAGATGTTTTTTTAGAAAAGCAATTATATTTCCACCTTTATAGAGGTATAATTAAAATATCACACTGTGTAACTTTAAGATGTAAAATGTGTTAATTTGATACTCATATATTGCAAAATGATTATCACCACAGTGTTAGCTAACACCTTCATCACATCACATAATTACCACCTCTATTTTATGGTGAGAACATTTACGATCTACTCTCTTAATAACTTTCAAGTGTATAATACATAATAGGTAACTATAATCACAGAACTTGCTAAGCGTAGTGATAGGGGAAAATGTCTAACATATTTAACATCAATTCTTGAATACTCAAAGGAATAGATATTATTAGAAGCATAACAAGTGCTTCAGCATGAAAATATTTGTAATACTTAAGTTTACAGTTTGACTATTTTAAAAATATGCTAAGGTATGTTTTAAAATATACATAGGCTATAA